CTGAATCCACAAGACTTAACACCCACTGGCCTGTGATCTTCCTGCATTTGGCGTCATTGCATGTGTTTCGTGAGTCTGAAGAGGAATTTATAGATTGGTATTGGACGTATGGGCTAATATCGGACTTACAGATTTGATCTGGACTGGGCTGGGCTGTTTTCTCAATATTCAATTGCTCTTGTCTATAAGCTCTTTCTTAGACACATAAGTGTCTACAGGTGCTGCTGTGTCGACTGACTCACAGCAACCCTGGATACAACAGAATGAATCAATACCCTATCCTGTGCCATCCTTGTAATTGTCATGCCTATCCATTGTTGCATGTATCTTGGAAATTGTTACAAGAATTGAGTGGCATTGCACTCACAAAAAAAAGCGTCTTCTATTTTCATCTGCTTATTTATATGCATAAGATTATTCAGTGTTTGTATCTATTAAAAGTACTGAGCAACTATAAAAATGAAAAATAGAAATGCAATCAATACTGAACATTCACCCCTCGGTTCAAGGACTAATCGGGAGGAAAAAGGATGCCATCTATTTGTCACTTTAAGAGTTGGTTTCCCAATACACTTTTATTGCTTTGTTTAATTAATACGAAAGGCATGTTCTTATGTTATTTGAACCAATTGGGTGTTTTAAGGGCTGTATGGTGCTGGGAGATAAAAATTTACACGCCAATTTATGAACAGGATTTGTGGGAAAGTGGTAGGATAGAGGGATCAATAAAAGACTTTCAAGCATAAACTATGTAAGAAGATAAATTTCCTGGGGAAAGTGGAATGGACATAGTTCAAGAGAAAAATATAAAATATTTCAAATGTTACAAAAGTCATTCATTTTGAACATCTTTATTCATAAGTGCCATTGTGGGAATGGAGCCACCTTAGAAATTTCTCAGAATCAACTGATTCCATTTGTAGTATTATCCTGATAAACTAAAAAAGAAAAAAAAGTAAAGAAACTCACTGCCATCAAGTCAATTCCAACTCACAGCGACCCCACCTGTCAGGGTAGAACTGCCCCTTTGGGTTTTTGAGAGTTTAAATATTTATAGGAACAGACAGCTTCATTTTTCTTCCATGGAGCAGCTAGTGGTTTCAAACCACTGACCTTGAGGTTAGCAGTCCAATATGCAACCTACAAGGTCACCAGAGCATCGTTGTTCTGATAGCTGTATTCAGTGTATCTTTCTAAAGATGCCTAAACTCGAATTCACCTTTAACATCCAGTCATTAAGCCTAATTTCCTTCTGGGCTTTCTCAGAGTTCTGGAAACTGCACACCAATGTCCTCAGTGATAGTCTTATTAGCAAACAGTGACTTCTGATCTATCTTTGATCTCCATTTTCTAAATAATACACCCTTCTTAATGATCTCAGTTGTGAAGATTAAAGACAATATATGCAAAGATTCTTAAGTATTAAGTGAATCCAAACTACGGTCACTAATTGGATCCTGACCCACAGAGACCATCTCTATAGACGCTTTCCAAGACTGTAAATCTCTATGGAGCAGTCTCAGTGCTAACCTGAGAGCACCGGTCCCCGTCAAACCAAACGCACTGCCCTGCTGTTGATTCCAACTCTCAGGACCCTAGCAGGACAGGACAGAACTGCCCCTGTGGGTTTCAGAGACTGTAACGATTTACGGAAGTAGAAACTCACATCTTTCTCCCACGAGACAGCTGGTGTAGTAGAACATCTGACCTTGTGACCAATGCACAGATAGTGCTACTAGGGCACTTTTAGTAAGTGAATACACGTAGCTTATTATTATTAGCAATTTTTCTCTCCCTCTGGACCATCATTTGTATTTTTTTTAAGAGTGGCCTTTGTAACAAACAGTGAAAATAAATTTTTAGGCTTCGTAACAAGAGTATCAATATTATTCAATATAAATTACCCCTGTGGTGTCGTGGTTACGCATTGGGCTTCCATTCGCCAGGCCAGGAGTTCAAAACCATCAACTGCTCCACGAGAGAAAGACAGGGCTTTTGGAAACTCAAGGGGAAGTTCTACCTCGTCTAACAGGGTCACTGTGAGTTGGCATCCACTCAATGGTAGTGAGTTTGGTTGAGTTTTTGGTGTAAGTATTTTTATCTCTGGAAGTTTCTCTACAGGCACAGAGGGAAAGTTTTGAGAGATACTGAAGACAAAAATCCAGTCAATTCGTTTTCCCCTTTTCTCAGGATTCTGAGACTAGGCTACTGGGGGATACCTCTGAAATGGAAAGAGTTCCATGAGAAAGGAAAACAGCTCAATGAAAAGAAATAAATCTCAAATTATGTAAATAAGACATCCATCATCTGATAGAAACACGTTAAGATGTACGAATTTTATGCTAAATTTTATAGGGTAAAATGAAAATAAAATTTTTTGGAAGGGGGGGGAACTCAGTATGTTGAAAGCCAAGTTCATCCTCTTTTGTCCTCAGTCTTGTCTTTCCTTGTGCTTCCCACCTCAGAGAATGCCATTCCGTTCCCAGATCTGCAACCATGACATCCCCCTTTCTGAGTTCTATGACTGCCCACAATCCTAGCACTCAACTGATCAGCGGGTTCTGAAAAATTCCACCTCCCAAATTCCTCCCATCCATCATCATCCTCTCCGTCTGGGCCTCTGCAGCAGCGTGCATGGATCTTCCTCAGAATTCATCCTCCGTTGTTTAATTCGACGTTTCCCTAAGTGGGCAATACCACCCCTGGGGGGTGCTGGGAAAACCCAGGGCAGGCTGCAAAAGCAGATATCCACATTTCATCCTGGACTATGGGTTATGGGACACAAGTTTTCATTGCCAGGGCATTCCGAGTAATTTTTTTTCCTGAAAAGGGGACCTATGGTTTAGCCTTTCCCCTTACTCAGAATTCTTAAATGGCTCCCTGCAACATTCAAATTCAAGTCCACCCTCCTAAAAGAAGATTACAATGTCACTTATGATCTTATTCCTGCTTCTCCCCAATTAAATCTAGTCTTGCTATGATTCTGTGATTTGGTTAAAACAAGTGAATCACAACAGCATCAAAGCAGAAACAGCCAAATTCCCCAGGGAAAAGAAGAGACTCCCTGCTCTCATTTCAGGCTTGGAACACAGCGGAGGGCTGCTATGAGCCAGAGTGCGGTTGGTGGCAGTGGGTTTGGTTTTGTTGGCCTGTGTTTCAGGTGTCTGTAATCCTGGTGCACTGCAGAAGCTGCTTGCTGGATCATTCCGCCTGTACGTCAGGCATTTTCAAGTTTTTTCTTTTTATTTCAATTTCATGTTTTACTCAATTTTGCTTGTTTGGCATGAGTGTGTTATTCTAAGGTTGAGGCTCTGTCTTAAAATGTTAGAGCATTAATCACATATAAACCAATAACGTGATGCCTTTGGCCTTCGCCACTCCCTGTCCTCACTCTGCCCCTCCATGCTCCAGCCAAACAAACCATTTGTCATTCTCGAAACACAGATATGGCCTGCTGACTTTGGACATATCACTGGAAAACACAACCCCTAGATCAAGACTGAACACTCACCGCTAGAACTCACCGGTAGAACTTGCGCTTGTGGGAGCTGTGGTAGCACAGTTACGGAACTGGACAGCTAAGCACCAGGACAGTCGTGTGAAACCACCAGTCAGTCCAAATGAGCGATGAGCCTTGTAGCGCCCCCAAACATTACAGCCTAGGAACTTCCTGGGGGCAATTCTCCTCTGTCTTAAAGGGTTGCTTTGAGTTGGCATGGACTCAATGGCAGTGAGTTTTTCAGTTTGAGGAAAGGATCTGTGTCTGGTAAAGTTGAGAGGTCAGCAAAGAGGAGGGAAATCCTTGATGAGCTGAGCTGACATAGCAGCTACAACAATGGGCCCAAGCAGACCAACAAGCACTGAGATGGTGTAGGATTGATTAGACACCAGGGCACCACCATAAACCTGAGCTCACTGGACTGCAGCTCCTACCACCGCCACCTCTTGTTCTTTCTTCTGGATCTTGCGCATGTCCTCTGCCTAGAATATGGGCTTCCATTTCCCCCTTCAGCTTGAGCATCATGTTCTCGGAGTAGCCCTCCCTCATGCCCCTCCTGTGCGCTCCCCTCGCTCCTCGTACTTGACTCCGTACAGCAGGTACAGGTGGGTTCTCTTTCCCACCCCCTTCTGTTTCTTTTCTCTCTTGCTGTACAGTGGAGTCTATTTGCTGCGGCCCAAACATCTTGTCTCCTACTGATGATACAAATTTAGTAAGGCTTTCATTTGAATCCTGTTCATTAATGATACACATATGTTATCCTAAAGGCTTTCAGGTCCGGTTTCCCTTCGGGTCCGGAAGTACTTTCTCATAACTGCTATGTTGCCTTATCTTCTTTGTTCATCTTCTATGAAGGTCAGCTGGCCTACAGTCAGTATCTTTCACCAAGTAAAGGAAGTGGTGAAACCCATTCCCTTTGCATCTGTGCAGTAGACCCGGTCCCCCTCCTCTCTGAGGATCAGGGCTGGGGTTAAATTGATTGTCCAACTTTCGTTTGACTCCTCTACTTTGTGCCCATGCCTGGAAGGAAGCATTTTTGAATATGAAGAGCAAGCAGTTTGCATGTAGATTGTTCGCAGGGACCTACAGCAACACACTACATTTTCCATGTGATTCTTTGGGGATTTCAGCATTAATCGGCACCAAATATAAAACACAACAACAAAAGAGTCTCTTTAAAATATGAAGCATCGCTACCAAGTGGGCACCGAGGCATACTGGGTACGTGCGCGGAACAGAAGTCAGGGCAGAAGAGGAGAACGAGAAAACAGGTAGGTCACATTTTGGACGGTGAAAATAAAGAAATGAAAGGATTCTTTTCTTTCTGGCTCCTTCAAAGGACTATTAGTTTACACATGGCCTACGAGTTGAGTGTATTTTTAGTCTAAAGGAATTAAAAAAACTGATATCTTGTTAGATAATCAACATTGTGGTTAGCACACAAATGATATTTTAAAAAAATCCTCCGGACTTTATTTTAACAACACTCACATGATCTTACCTGGGGGTTTTTAAATACACCATATTTTTCCCCTTTCTCCAAAAATAGTATTTTATTTTCCGTGTCTCTTGTCCAGTCTGATAAGACTTCAACAACATTTTCATGGTCTTCAAAAATTCTCTCTGGGGAAACAAGAAGAGGCACTTACTTTCCGGGCTCACCATGCTCCATTTCCGACCGTGCAGAAGTTCTCACTGAGTGACGCACCGAGCTTCCTACTCTTTGTCGGTCGTCACGTGATACCCCATTGTAACATCTCTAGTCCACGTATGTTTCAGTGCCAGGTTGAGTTAGTTAATTGTGCCAGCCTGGCCGATAATCACATGTGGTGCTGGTTGAAAGGCGGAGGGATAAATGGGTGGTGAAGCCTCGCCTTTCTAGTTCTTGGGTCTCTTGTTTTGTGATGGTTGCACCGGGTGCAGCTGCCTTAGCAGTTCCCTGCTTCAGCTTGCAAGATTGACTTCCTACAAGACATCCCCAAGGAGAAGCTACATGGACCTATCCTGATACAGCCCTGGGTGCTGGAGCAGCCCTGTGGAGACCCCTACTAGTGCTGAGATGCTTGTTCGTTCACTGACTCAGTTTTCCTCCTGCAGTCGGCATCATTGCCTCTGTTTTGTGAGGTGGAGGACTTTGTGGACTGGTGTTGGGTTAATGGGTTAATGTTGGACTTGTGGGCTTGGGCAGCATTGGGTTGGGATGTTTTCGTGATGCACATTTTCTTTGCATAAAACTCTCTCTTACACGTGAGTCGCCATGGATTTGTTTCTCCAAAGTACCCAGACTAATACACAGGTCTTTGACTTATTTTTATAGAAAATAAAATACAACGTGCTGGGAGCACTTACAATAGGGTGACACTGATCAGGTATCAGACTTTTTTTCACATTAGCCCTCTTTTTACTTTAAAGAGTCCCCCATGAAAGGACTGCCACTCTTTTTCTGTTAGGAGGGCAATCAAGGCAAAGATTGCCAATTCCGACTCCGTCACCCTTTGGGACAGAGTAGAACTGCTGTGGAGGGTTTCTAAGATGTAAATATTTATGAAAGCACACAGTCTCAAGAGGAGCGGAGTGGCCAGTGGCTTAAACCTCTGACCTTATGATTAGCTGACCAATCCTTAGCCCATTGGACTACCAGGGCTCCTTAAATATTGGTTAAACATCTTTAAGTGGAAAGGTGTGATGCTTGATGAATGCCATTAAACATCACTTCTAAAACTTTAAAAACAGCTTATGAATACTTGAACCAAAGTGGTACATAAGGGAACGCTCTCATTTCCCTACATGACTCATTGAGCTAAAGAAAACATTGAGGTTGTTTTAGTTGAGATCATTCCTTCAGAAAAATCAAGTAATTCTATGTTACACCAAGACAATTGGGATACCATTCTCCTATGAGGGGCATACAGAATAAGAAGTAAGAGTATTTAATTTTTGAAATAAAAATATGTGTAACACAACATTTTCCAATTTAATATTTTTCATATGGTCTATTTAGTGCATCAATTACATTTAAACAAGTTGTTCAGTCATCACCAATGCCCAAAGGCAAATTTCCACTGAAACCAGCAGAAATTCAGGCTTTCTGAACAAGGACTCTTCGCCCTACTTCCTCTTGCCACTAGGAATTTGTGCACGTGTGTGTGCGTTTTCTTTCTGATTTTTTTCAACTAAACCAATTGTCCTTTGTGCTGAGGGGCTGAAGCTCCTTCACTGGACAGTGTTTCAGAGAACAGGTGCGAGGAGTGGAAGGAGAGACTAGCATTGGTATGAGTGTGTGCAGAGCCACAGACAATCAAAGGCAGCGATCTCTACAGAGGCTGTAGGTGATGGATCCCAGGCCTCCCATAATCTGCTCAGTTTCCTGGGCACGCAGTAGGAAGCATCATCTCCCCCTGATCCAGCCACTAGAGAAGTGGCAAGAGTAATAATGTTGACATCCCCCACGGTCTAGCCACCTGCTACCATCTGAGGCTCTTCACCACAAAGAAACGCGGTGGATACTTAATCTGGCAGAAGGGAAGTGGTTATTATGCAATGTTGCGAGGGCCCCAAACAAACTCGTTTGAACAATGTACTAAAAGCCCATGACAACATAAACCGTGGGATTTGGGAGGACAGCCTCCTGCCGGGGTGGGACTTACCAATTTGTAGTTCAGGATATATTTCATAAAGACACCAATCCACATTGCAGTCACAGTGAGTTTTCTCAAAAAGGTTGTCTAAAACATCTCGGACCAACTGCCGCTCATCCACCATCAAGGACTTGGTGCTGTTATCATTCATGTGCACTTTGACCACGAGCTGAGGAGAAAGGCACAGAGCAACCGGTACATTCTGGCAACCAGAGAAGGCTGCTGAAACTAAGGTTTCAAAATGGCCATTGTTCCTGTGGGGTTACTTTACAAGTAAGGACTGTGTCTGTCCTGTGAATTCACTCGATATGTTTTTACCCATACGTGAGCACTGCTTCAGGTACTAACAATATGATGTGGGGCCGGGGGAGGGGGAGAATCTGTAAATATACGCATAAACTATTTACCTGCTTAACTAGCAGGGACTTTCTAATAACATGGTCATCATCCAGAACCACCTGATACTCTTTTCTTTTTCCTGCAGTACTTGAAGGCTTAAGTGATTGCATGGTGAGCTGCTTGCTAACCATGAGGTCAGCCGTTCGAAACCATCAGGCCCCCAGGCAGGAGCAGAGTTAGTTTCTGAAACCCAAATGGGAGCTCTACCTGTCCTATAGGCTCGTCCAGAGTCGGAACTGACTTGTGGGCCTTGCGTTTGGATTTGGTTCGGTAGAAGGCTTGGGAGTGATTACAAGACGAATCCCTTCCCCTTTTATTGATGTTTATGCTAGTATGTATGTATCTGTGTGTGTTACATATTAGGTTATTATCTGTTTACCTATGTTACTATCTATGTATTTACATGTGTTACTTCCCACCCCTACCCTTTATTCTTAGGTTTTATTTTAATTTTTTAAAACATTTTAGGGAGGGAGGGGAAAAATGAGGACCTAATGCGGGGGGCTTAAGTGGAGAGGAAATGTTTTGAGAATGATGAGGGCAATGAACGTACAAATGTGCTTTACACAATTGATGTATGTATGGATTGTGATAAGAGTTGTATGATCCCCCAATAAAACGATTAAAAAAGCAAAACCAAAAAACAACAAAAAAAACCCCATTTTATTGAGGGCTTGTAAACATCAACTGTATTAAGCACATTTGTACATATGTTGCCCTCATTATTTTCTAGACATTTACTTTTAGCCTATGTGTTTCAAATCTTAATCATGCTATTAAGTCTTCCTATTCATGAACATGGGCATTTTCCCCCCATTTATGTAGGTATCTTTGGAATTATTCAAAAAGCAAACCAAGTGCAGGAGCCCTGGTGGTGTAGTGGTTATGAGTTGGGCGCTAACCGCAAGGCCAGCAGTTTAAATCCACTCACACTGCTCCTTGGGAGAAAGACAAGTTTCTATTACTGTAACGAGTTACAGTCTTTGGGGGAAGGGGGATACTGGTGGTGGGGGTGTAAAAGGGAGAAAACATCAAGGAGTACATGTGGAAAAAGAATGTTTAGAAACTGATTGTGGTAACAATAGTACAATTCTACTTGACATGATTAAAATATGCAATGACATGGTATATGTATTCAATCCCAACTAATAATAATAAAGAGAAAATCTGGAGGGATTATGCTAATTATAATTTGCATAACGATAATTTGGCAAAATTACTTGTATTTGTAATCATAGAATCTCTGATAGATTGATAAATAAATCCCGTTTGATTATATATATAATCATATGTATATGTGGTAGTTACATAATCTGGTGTCAGTTTGAGGATTGAGAGTGAAGGGGCGGAGTCTAGTCTGTCAATCTGATCATAGCCAATGAGGCCTCTGTGTGAGCATGGCCTTCTCCTGAGGATTCTGGGAACTCCTGTCTTTCCTCTTTGGAGGCAGGAGACACACTCTTTCGGTTCACTCCCTGGGAGACATCCCTGTGGAGAAGACACATGGAGAGTGGCTGATGGAGCCAGACCTCTGGTGCAGGAGAAGCCGTGTGGAGACCCTGCCAGAGCTGAGATGCTTTTACTGCCACTGGATTCACAAGACTTCCCACCCACTGGCCTGTGATCTTCCTGCATTCGGCGTCATTGCATGTGTTTTGTGAGTCTGAAGTGAATTTTATAGATTGGTATCGGATATATGGGCTCATATCGGACATGTGGATTTTATCTGGACTGGGATGTTTTCTCAATATCCAACTGCTCTTCTATATACACTTATAGAAAGCTCTTTCTTATACACATGTCAGTCCCAATAAATTTATTTCTCTAGGTAAAGTTATTCACACACACACACACACATATAAATTCTTGGAAACCCATAGGAGCAGTTCTACCCTATCCTATTGGGTCTCTGAATTGGAATCAATTCTGGCAGTGAGTTTTTAAATTTCTTTGTACAAGTTTTTGTTTCCCTGGCTAGGTTTATTACTAAGTAATCAATCTTCTGGGTGCTTATAATAAGTGGTATTTAAAAATAATTCCTTTTCAAAGTTCTCTTTCTTAATGTACAGGAATCCTATTTTTTTTTGTGGGGATATTGATCTGGTAGCTGTCACAGTGCCAAAATGTTCAGTTGGTTCCAGCAATTTTCTTATGACTCTTGGGAGTTTTCTCTCTATAAAATTATATCACTGACAAATAAGAGTTTTATTTCTTTTTGCCAATCTGGATGTCTTGAATTTCATTTTGATGTCTTATGATGCTGGCTGATACTGTCAGGCTATCATAAATAAGAACGGCAATAAAGGGAAACCCTATCTGGCTCCGTTTGGAAGGCAAGTCCTTTCAGTTTCTCTCCATTGAGTGAAATGCTGGCTGTTGGCTTTGCACATATGGCCTTTATTGTGTGGAGACATTGCCCTTGTATTTCTATTTTATTGAGTGTTTTTTATCAAGAATGGATGTTGCATTTTGTTGAATGCCTTTTCTGCATTAATTGATATGATTCTTTTCTAGTGTTTTATTTATATAGTGGAGTACATGTTTGTTTTTTTCTAATTTTGAACCATCTTTGCATACCTGGTATAAATCCCACTTGGTCATAATGTATTGTTTAATTTTTGGGGGTCAATTTCTGTTGACTAGAATTTTGTTGAAAATTTTAGTATCTATGTTCATCAGAGATATTAGTATATATTTTTCTACTCTGGTGATGTTTTATCTGATTTTGGTAGCTTTCATTATGTTTGCTGTATGGATTTAATTTGGTGTAGTTTGTACTTTTCTATATTCTGTAATATTTTATATAGAATTGGTGTCAACTTGTCTCTGAATGCTGTTAGAATTCCTCTGTAAAACCCTCTGGTCCTGGACTTTTTGTTGTTGGAAAATTTTCAGTGACGTGATCTATTTTTTTCTTGTGCTATAGATCTGTTAAGATTTTCTATGTCAGTCTGTGTTAATTTAGATAGGTAATGTGCTTCTAGAAATTTGTCCATTGATTCTAGGTTTTCAAATTTGAATTCATTCCTTCATCATATTATATAGGTATCTTCTTTATTTTGTTTGGTGTTGATGTGATGTCACCAATTTAATTTCTTATTTGTAATGTTTTCATCGTCTCCTTTTCCTTTTTTAAATGTGCCAGTGGTTCGTTAAATTTGATAATCTTTTAAAAGGGCCAGCCTTTTGTTTTATTTTTCTCTATTGTTTCTCTGTATTTAGATTCATTCATTTCCTCCCTAATTTTTATCATGTCTTTTCTTCTGGTACTTTAGGGTTTGTTTTGCTGTTATTGTCCTAATTGTTATAGGTGTTGGGTTAAGGTGTTGATTTGGGTTCTTCTTGTTTTTGATGTATGCAATTATTGCCATTAACTGCGTTCTGAGTACTGCTTTTTTCTGTCTCAGAGGTGTCGATATGCTCTATTTTCGTTCTCCTTTGTTTCAAGGAATTTTTTAATCACAATACTTATTTCTTCAAATATGCAGTTTTTCATCATTTTATTGGGGGTTCATATAGCTCTTATCACAATCCATGCATACTTGCATTATGTCAAGCACATTTGTACATTTGTTGCCATCATCATTTCCAAAACACTTTCTTTCTGCTTTAGCCCTTGGTATTAGCTTCTCATTTTTTCCCCTCTCCCCCACCTTCCCTCCCTCATGAACTCTTGATAATTTATAAATTATTATTATTTTTTCATGTCTTATACTGATTGATGTTTCCCTTCACCCACGTTTCTGTTGTTCTTCCGCCTGGGAGGGGGTTGTATGTAGATCATTGTGATCGGTTCCCCCTTTGTCCTACAACCTTCCCTTCCCCTCCTGGTATCCCTACTCTCATTATGGGTCCTGAGGAGTTTGTCTGTCGTGGATTCCCTGTGTTGGGAGCTCTTCTCTGTACCTGTGTACATGCTCTGGTCTAGTCGATTTGTAAGGTAGAATTGGGGTCACAATAGTGGCAGGGAGAAAGCATTAAAGAACAAGAGGAAAGTTGTATGTTCAACGGTGCTATACTACACCCTAACTGGCTCATCTCTTCCTTGTGACCCTTTTGTAAGGGAATGTCCAATTGTCCACAGATGGGCTTTGGGTCTCCGCTCTGCGCTCCCCCTCATTCACAGTGATTTGATTTTTTTGTTCTGGGTCTTTGATGCCTGATACCTGATCCCATCAGCACCTCATGATCACACAGGCTGGTGTGCTTCTTCCATGTGGACTTTGTTGCTTCTCAGCTAGATGGTTGCTTGTTTATCTTCAAGCCTTTAAGACTCCAGATTCTATATCTTTTGATAGCCGGGCACCATCAGTATGAGGTGGCTTTTAAGCAAGGTGCTGTTCTATTTCCATGTATTTGAACTTTTTATTGATATTCTTATTATTGATTTATAATTTTATAGTATTGTGATCTCAAAAGATAGTTTGTGATATCTCAATATTTTAAAATGTATTAATACTTGCTTCGTGGCCTAGTACATAATCTATTCTGGAGTATGTCTGACGCGCTCTGGAAAAGAATGCTTGCTGTGCTATTTTGGGGTGAAATATCCTTTATATATATGAGATAAAGTTGATTGTGTTGTTTAGTTCTTCTGTATCTTTGTTAGTTTTCTTTCCAATTGATATATATCCTTCCTCGGGAGTAGGATATTGAAGTCTCCTATTATTTTTGCACTATAGTCTATTTGTCTCTTCACGTCTACATGAATTTGATTACTGTGTTTTTAGGGTCTCTCATTGGGCTCATAGATGTTTATTATGGCTGTATCTTCTTATTTGTGGCTTTAATCGTGATATAGTGGCCTTCTGTGTCTCATGATGGCTTTTACTTTGAAGCCTCTTTCACCAGATATTAATTGTAGCACTCCTGCTTTTTGATTTCTTCTTGTGTTATGTCTGTTAGGTTTTCTCTATAAATGTGTGCTAATTTAAGTAGGTAATATGCTTTTAGTAAATTTCCCATGGCTGCTAGGTTTTCAAATTTGCTATAGTACAAGGACTGCCATTATTTTAAAAGGTGATAAGATGGATGGGAAAAGAGAGGGAGGCCCTCTAACTGGCAAGTCCTTCTTCCTCCCAAGTGGGGTTGAGTTGTGCGCAGAGGCCTTCAAGGACGCAGTTACGCTATGCTCGAAAACGAAGCAGATGTTTGGCAGCTCAAATTCCCTTGCACGCTTCTCAATAGACAGGTCTGGATACTTGCTTCTGAAAGGTCACGACCTTGCAAACTCTATGGTGCGGTTCTCCTCTGCACACATGGCCACCCTGGGCTGGAATTGACCTGAACTGACAGCAACCTGAGCACTTGAGTAAATGCCGCTTCCAGCCACTCCCACCTGACCTGATCTTGAAAACTGTTTTCCAGTTGAGCGAGTGGCGTCTGGACATTATTGTGTAGAAGCCACCAAGTTGGAACATGTTACACACTCTGGGCTTGCTCCTTTCTAATAGATACAAAGCTTGATACTCAAATGTAGACATTGAAAGGTGGCAAAAGGGCACTTCCACTTCCAGTATCATTCAGATTAGACCCTTAACCAGGCTTGCCTAAGGGGTGCTTGTTTTCTTCCTCTCCTCAGAAACTTGCAGCCTAGACAGTAGACAGTTGCTTATTCTCGCTCTATTTGTCTTTCGATGCTTTAAACTGATGGACCAGGAACCACGGTGCTCAAGATCCGCGGGTCTGATCTTAGAAGTGAGGTTAGGTATGCAGGGTTGTGTGGAGAAATATGGAAGCTCCTCAAAGAGTGGTCTTTGCTACTATTTTCTCTGGAAGACATACCTGCTGCTTTCTGCTCGGAGCTATTGCAGATCAGCTGTGTGTCCTGAGGAACAGTACCAACACAGGGCTTTGAAAACTTAATCTTCCTGATCACAAAACTGATGAGGTTTGACCATATTTCATTCTTGCTTACAAATTTTTGAGAAAATAAAGGATATGTTGATGCTTCCTTTTGTTATTATAAGGGAGAAAAAACTAGAAAACACAATTTAGCAGTGATATAAAGGTTTTTTTTCTGGGGGGGTGGGAAGTGGGGGCATTAATTGCAGACTAGATCTAATCCACATGTGCTAATAAATGTCCATAATTACAGAATTTAGAAAACAAATAGCCTACGAGAAAACTGGTGATTTTTAGAGACTAAATCATATGTATTATTCCTCACAGTTTCAGTTGTATCTGCAAGCTGAAGAGCAGCTTTGTGGCAGCATATTTGTGTAAGGGGGACTCAGCAGGCCAAGGCTTCTCATACCCACACTGTGGGAGATGAGTTAAAAGTGATTCAAGAAAGGAAAAAAGTGTCGGGGTTTAAGTGGAGAGAAAATGTTTTGAGAATGATGTACAACTGCGCTTTACACAATTGATGTGTGTATGGATTGCGATAACAGTTGTATGAGCCCCTAATAAAACGTTTGAAAAAAATAAAGAAAGGAAAAAAGAAAAACAAACCCCAGGCTTTATAATCTATTACAGTAAAGCTTTTTCAGCTTCTGCAATTTCTTTGTTCTTTTGCAAGCTGTTAAATATAATAAAATTCTAGAGCTGATTCGCTTAAAAAATATACATTTGTTTTAAGATTTAAAAATTAAACTGCTCTGTTGTGTTACCAAGACAGAAAAATACAAAGACTGACGGACTGGCTCTGACTCTGTTTCTATTTCCCCAAACTGTGACTATCAAATGATGTCAACACATCACAGAATACTTGAGAGGCAAAGTACTCCAGATAAACTCCATTTTCATCCTTTAACCTGCAACCTTTTGGCTAGCTAATGGGCTGTTGGCACCAAAGGGAAGAAGCAATAAAACAACAAAACAAACAAAATGAGCAAAACACCAAACCCACTGCCACTGAGTAGGTTCCAGCCCCGAGGGTTTCCAAGACTGTGCATCTTTATGGGAGCAGACAGCCTGATCGTTCTCTGGCAGAGCCACAGGTGGGTTGGAACCACTGACCTTGTGGTTAGCAGCCGAATGTCTAAACCCTCAGGACCAAGTACTGAAAACAAAATAAAGTAGGGAAGGATATGGCATGTGTGTATGTGCATGCAAAGGTTCACAGAAGGTAACAAAGTGAACCTACCTAGAATCGGGGGACAAGCATCAAGGTAGGAGGAAGGCAGAGATCTTAAGGCAAGGGCATGCCTGGAACTTTGCAATTGCAGCAATGAGACCAGGAGGTAGGATGGGAGTGAGGAGGGACGGGGGCGGGGTGGGGGCGGGGGGAGACACACACACACACACAAATGAGATCATGGAGGTAATGAGGCAGCCAGATCTGAGAGGGATGTAAGGCCATTGTCAGGATTGGGGCTCTTGCTGTATGAGATGGGAAGCTCCTGGAGGCGTTGGATGATGGGACCGGGAGCACAAGTGGACAGGCTGGCCTTAGCAACAAAGAGCAGTTCCCTTATATGAGGATGCTTTGCTGAGTTCATGGGAAAATTCCATTAGCTTTGCGTTCAACCCTTCCATCAGCTTTGGAAGCCCCTTGTAGTAAGAGAGGAGGACAAAAGTGGACTATACATATATGGGTGCAACGGAAGGTAAGTGTGTGAGGGGGGTTGTAGAATTTGTCCCCCCTGCTCATTGAAATCGGAAGGGAAGTCATTAGCTGAGAGAATGTGGGTGAGGAGAGCGGTGTTGGGAGTTCGAAGACGGATGACAAGGCACCGTGCTCTCGGTTAGCGGGAGGGCGATGGGAAAGGGGTGTCCTGAGAGCCTGGCAGGCAGCATTGAGGGCCCCTCGGGAAGACTGTGCTCGGTGCTCCCGGAATTCAGTGCTGCAGACCCAGAGAAGGCAGAGAGCTGGATGTAATCAGGGCTTGGCCAAGTGAGGACAGCCAAAGGAGACCAAGGGAGCCGAGGTGCATCGTTTCAATGACCCAGCGCTGCTTTGAACGACAGCCGTGCCGACAACAGGGAGGAATTACGGCAAAGGAGTGCTCTACAAAAAGGCCAATTTCCCAACTCTATGTAGCAAGTTCTTAACGAGTTTCAGGGATGGGATGTGCTTTCAGAGTTGAAACATGATGGAGACAGCTTCATTCTTATGCTTAGTTTACCCAGTTCACTCTGCCTGTTGTTGTGAGCGGCCTTCCAGGCATCACGATGTAGTGTTGTGACTGGTGGAGCCACACCTGATCACCGGGTGGGCCTGGCCCAGCATAAGCCCCTGATCAGTTGTGGATCCACCAATGTGATCCATACAGCTTTCAATGGCTGATTTCAAAAAATAGGTCGCCAGACCTTTCTTCCAACTCTCTGAGTCCGGAAATGCCGCTCAAGCTTGTTCAGCATCATAGCAACAGCCAAGCCTCCCCTGACAGATGGCTATGCTTGAAGTGCACTGGCTTGGAATTTCACATGGAAAGTGAGAATTTTATCACTGAACTCCCTAACTGACACTTAGTCCTTCACATATTATATACTTCTAATAAGGAGCCCTGGTGGTCCACTGGTTACACACTCATTGCTAACCTAAAGGCTAGAGGTTCAAAGCTACCCAGTGGCTTGTGGGACAAAGACTTGGCAATCTACTCCAGAACAAGAAACCCTATGATAAGACATTTCCCTTCAATCACATGGAATCGCTATCAGTCAAAATCCAACAACAGTATACTTTTAATAAGGTCACATACAAGTGCTTATGTTACAGCACAATATATGTGTTCCTGAAAAACTCTATGCTCTTGCAAACACACACACACACACACACACACACTCACTCACTCACTCACTCACTCACTCACTCACTCACTCACTGGCTTATCAGATAATAAATTAGGTAACTGAAACAAACACAGCTATGACAATACCAGGTTCTTCCTAAGAGAGAGAACTTGGATGTCCAGGACAAGTGGCTAGAGGCTGTGTCAAGGAATATGAAAAATTCACAAAAGCAATTGTGGAAATGCTGAGGGTGCAAAGGAAGCCAAGCTCTGACCCGATTAAGGTAGCGCCACTGAGCAAAGGCCAGAAGGCCCCTGACAAGAGAGGGGAGGGAGCTCAGGTTCTGGATGCTTAGTTCTGCCCAAGCAGCTGCCGAGCCAAGGGCTCTTTCCTACTGGCTGAGGCCCATAATTCTACTCCCACTTAGCCCAGCTCCTAGAAAAACCAGGTTCTTGCCAACCAAAAAGCAGGTTTAAACCAATGAACAGTCTACAATTTACTAACAGATCTTCCCTAGCCATCCATCACCAATGAATGAACTAGAGTTCTAGAAAGATCAACTATATAATTTATTGTTTTCTTGAAAAAAAAAATACAATGATTTGGGAAGCATCACTCAGCATTTTTATTTTTTATTATTTGGTATGATAAAATGTCCTAGACTGAACTTTTCAGTGCCAAAGTATTTCATAGTTTACCTTTTTAACCTTGGCCTCCTTCAGCTTTTCCAGTGCCAACTTAATTTTATCGGCTTTGGCTTGGGCTTCTTCTTCTTCCTGTAAAAAGGCAAAATATTCAGCAGAGTCTATGAAATTAGGCCAGTGAGTCATTGCCCGTACTTTCAAAAGCACTTTAGTTTATGTGAACAAAAGGCTCTTATTCAGAGGCACCAACTTTCACATGATTGATTTGTAGAATTTAAATAGATTATAATAGAAATCTTCAGTCCAAAGGTGCAGAAGGCAGTCAGCTTTAAAAAAAATTATATATGTATATATATATGTTTATGTAGATAGCTAAATACAATATAATAAATAAACAGCTAATTAGTCTATAGAGCAGTACAAATGGCTCAGTGCAACTCATTTCTTTGAGACAGCTAATACACTGGCAGTCCTTTAAGTCTTTTTTTAAATACTTTTATTGGGGGCTCTTACATCTCTTATCACCATCCATATATTCATCCAGTGTGTCACGCACATTTGCACATATGCCACCATCATCATTTTCAAAGCCTTCTCTTCCCTCTTGAGCCCCTGATATCAGCGCCCCATTTCTTCCCCCGCCCATCCTCCCTCACAAACCCTTAATAAGTTATAGATTATTTCCATATCTTACATCATCCTCCATTGCCCTTCACCCACTTTTCTGTTATTCGTCCCCCTGGGAGGGGGTCCTAGATTGATCCTTGTAATTGATTCCTCCTTTCGTCCCCCACCCTCCCCTAATCCTCCTGGTATCTCTACTTTCCTTGTTGGCCCTCAGGGGTTTATCCACCCTGGATTCCCTGTGTTGTGGGCTCTTATGGCAGTCAGCTTTTATACCTGAAGCACAGTAACTTGAAAGATGAACTGGTGGGTTTAGCGGGGCTTCACATATTTTGAACACACAAAAAATCTCTGCTTGGCTCACAGGCTGGAGTCTTAACAGAAGGCATATATGGCTAGATATCAAGCAATTTGACACCCGCCTGAAGTTACATACACACTTATGGGCTATTAGGCATTGTCTGAAGGAGCCCGGTGGCACAGTGGTTAAGCATTCGACTATGAAACAAAATATCAGTGGTTCAAATCCACTGGTAGCTCTGTGTGAGAGAAGCCTTGGTGATCTGCCTAGGAAACCCTATGGAGCAGTTCTACCCCGTGACATGGGGCTGCTGTCCGTTGGAATTACTTGAAGGCATAAACAACAACAACATGTTTTCTCGTGTCTCACTAGATTCTGAACCACAGCCATCGAGGCGATTCTGACTCCTAGCGACCGACAGGACAGGGCAGAACTGCCCCTATGGCTTTCTGAGATTGCAACTCTTTATGGGAGTAGAATGCCTCATCTTTCTTCTGTGGAGTAGCTGGTGGTTTCGAACTGCTGACCTTGTGGTTAGCAGCCCAGTGCATCATCACGATACCACTAATATCTTAAAGGGGCACCTAGTTCCTAAAACCTGACGACGCAAGATTCAAACTAATAATATAAGGGAAAAGCACTGACGAATACAACTTAGCAGGAGAGAGAGAGAAAGTGAAATATTTGATGAATTCCAACCATTCGATTTCTGAACATAAATATACAAAGAATAATTATGGCTCTCTGCACCTAACTATTTATAATGTCCAGGAAAGGAATTATGCTGATTAAGTTTCAATTATTTGAAAGTATACATATATTTTATTATACCAGTGGTGCTTAAAGCTTTCCTTAATGATTTTTTTTTAATTCACAAATCTCCGGGGAATATGTTGAAAGCAATGTAGCCCATGAAAAACTCACACATCATACAAAATTGTATATATTTTCAGGAAATTAAGAAAACTCCTTTGAAAACTTCATAAACCTAATATTCAGGGTTTATGATCTATATCTTTATATAGATCACCAATTTTTAATAACTAGTCTACAGTAAGGAGCCTTGGTGGCATAGTAGTTATGCGTTAGGTGACATTCTGTAAATTCTACACTTGGAAACCACCAGATGCTCTAAAGGAGAAAGGAGGCTTTCTAGTCCCACAAAGAGAGAGTCTCAGAGACTCACGGGGCAGTTCTACCCTGCCCTAAAGTGTCACGATGAGTTGGCATCAATTCAATGGCAGCAGGTTTGATTTTTAGTTTATAATAAATACATGAGAGAGCAATACTGAATATGGTTTCATATTTGTTCATTCAAAAGGCATTTTGGGAGCTTTCAAAGTGTAGTAGGCTGAATGTTGACGAACAAAAAGACATGTGCATACCCTAACGTCCAGAGTTTGTGAATGTGACCTTGTTTACAAAAAAGGAGTCTTTGACATTTTAATTAATTTGGGAGGGAGGAGGGGGAAAATTTAATTAATTTAAGGATTTTGAGATGAGAAAACCAGGGATTATTTGGGTGGATCCTAAACTCAATGACAAGTGTTTTTTATAAGAGATACACAGACTGGGGGGCCGGCCCCAATCCCAACTACTACGTGGACACCTGCCCCTCCCCCAGAAGAATTTATTTCAAAGGACAGCATTGACTCTGTAGCTCCGGGAGAGGGACAGATCTGATCGGAGCACAGGGGAGCAGATGAAGGGGAGGAGGAGAGAGTGGAGCACATCCTGACCCACCAGGCCGTGAGGACGATGTTCCTGATTAGAGCAGCCAGTCCACAGAGAGGACCACATGGCCAGCCCCACTATGAGACATGACGCCCCTCACTGACACACAGCCCTACAGGGGACAACACCGAGACACAGTGTGGGCATTGCACCCGATCTGATCCCGCCACACCAAGGCAAAACACTAAGGGGTGCAACAGAACAGCAAGGGAACGGAGCAGCGACGTCCTCAGGGAATGCTGAAAGTGGACTTTGGGGCCAGGGTGTGGTGCCCCACCAGACTGGACTGGAAAACACTCCTAAAGGCCAACAAACAATCCTTGAACTAACTACAAAAAGAGAGAGAGACACACACAGAGAAGAATACAGAAGAGGTGAAGGCAGTATGAATAGGGTTTGTCAGAAATTGAAGCCAGGCTGTCACAAGCCAGGGGATGTTGGCAGTCAGCAGATGCGCAAAAATGAATAAATAAATAAAGGGGAGAGAAAAGGAAAAAATGAAAGAAAGAAAGACGTCTCCTGGAGACCACCGAGGGAATGCAGCCCTCAATTCCATTCTTCGCGCCCCAGAACCCGGGGAGGGTGAGCTGGTATTGTCTCGAGCCACTCCGTTTGTGGCAATGTGGTATGGCAGTAGTTAGTTCTACTGGAAACTGACATCAGGTCACAGGTTCATATTTATGAATATTGATTACTACAGAAAATCAATCTGGTTCTTACCACAAAATATGTTAATTGGCTTACTCTGAGAGAAACCTTTAAAAGGGATCTTTTTATTTGTTTCTGAGAGACATAATAGGAGCTAATGCACCAAATAATGATTATATATACTTTACGTTGTTTCTCATTATAGAGAAATGTATGGATAACAAAGCCATCCGTGCCCCATAGCGCTCCCCCTGCCCCCGCCCCACCCCATCCACTAGACTCTCACGAGGGACACACGGCTCCATCTTTGAGGTCAACAGCATCCACCGAGATGTAACAAATGCCTTCTCTGAGTGGCTTCAGAACGTTTGCGGTAGAACAGAATTAGAAAATATGGAACCTTTTCCGGGAAGCCCCTTCACATTCTTTAAGAACTAGTCCCGGACCAAGGCCACAGACACGGGAAACCACATGCAAGCTAACACCCAGGACGCCGAGCACGTCCACCAGCAGATGCCAACCGGGAGACCGATGGGGTACCTTCCCAGATTTAACCGGTTTACGGCGGCTTAAGCACCGGGCTGCTCACAGAAAGGCTGGTGGTTCCAATCCACCCGCAGGAGAAAGATGAGACTGTGTGCGCTGGAAAGACTGACAGTCTTGAACACCAGTTCTACTCTGTCCCGTGGCGTCACTACAGGGCGGAGTCGACTTGGCAGCCAATGGGTTTCAACCCAAACCACTTTCTTCCTGAGGGCTGCCGGTGGAGTTGAACTGCTGACCTGAGGTTAGCAGTCTGATGTGTAACCAGCCGTGCAGCAGCAGCAGCACTGAGCAGCCTCACATTGCTCTACATGTGGATTGAAAATGGAAGGAGAGCCAGGCCCACTTTGGCTGTTGGTGGGCCCACTGGTTAGCCTTTCGGAGCAGACTTAATGATTGTGCCCCTAGGGCTTCTTTGTGAAAGGTCTGCCACCAACTGGGGGCAAGCTGAGGAGCGGGTGTTGCTGCTGTGCCCTCTCAGAGGGGCTAAGGGACTAAGCCACTGACCTCAAATCCCCGGCTGAGTAGCGTTCCCCTCGTCTGTGCATTTGTCCCCTGCTTCCTTGTGTTTTTTGCGCCAGAGTCTTGGTTGCTAACGTCCATGGCAAGATCTTGTGGGTCACATCCACTGGCGTTTTGTGAGAACTGAGATATTCCTGAGGGCAGCTCCCTGGTAGGGTCAGCCTTGCGGTCAGTGTCAGAGAAATATGGCAATGCAGGCCGAGAACTTCCATAACTGGTGTCTCAGGTTCCTAAACCTCTACTAATTAACCAGGGTGCCTGCTGCCTAAGTGCTCGTATTTGTGCTTGTAGCTGTTTTGTTTTTTCATCCCAACTTCTGGGGCAGTTACACGAGGTGCAACTTTCTTACTGACTCTCGGGGTCATATGAGGGGGGTTCAAAAAGTTCATGGAAAATTGGAATGAAAAGATAAAGGAATTTGTCCACGGTATTAAAAATTTCCCCCCACCATTTTTAACAGTTTTATTAATGTATAATACATTTCAATAGCTCAATCATATTATAAGGAGTTGTATAACTATCACCACAATCAATTTAGGAAATTTCTTTCTTTTTTTAAAAAATCCCTTTACTGGGGGCTCTTACAGCTGTTATAACATGCCATACATCCATTGTATCAAGCATATTTGTACATATGTTGCCATCATCATTTTCTAGACAATTACTTTCTATTTGACCCCTTGGTATCAGCTCCTCTTTTCTCCCCTGCTCCTCTCCCTTCCACCCTCATGGCCCCTTAATAAATTATCAATTATTATTGTCTTCGTATCTTACACTAACCGCCATTTCCCTTCACCCACAGTTATGTTGTTCATCCCCCTGGGGGTGGGGGGTAGGGGCTTATGCATCGATCATGAAGGCCCTAATGTAATTAAACTAGTTTCCAAAGATTGGAACCTTCACAGATGCCGAGATGCTATTTCTGTAAAAAGGTTAAAATATTTTGTAATTATTTAATTAAATCCCTGAAACATTAGATAAAAGGCTGTGATCTCAAGTTGACTACCACCAGGTCAATTCTGACTGATAGCGACCACACAGTCAGAGTAGAACTTCCCTTGTCGGTTTCCAAGACTGTACCTCTTTCTGGGAGTAGAAAGCCTTGTCTTTTTCCTGCAAAGTGGGCTGCTGGTTTCGAACTGCCGACCTTGCGGTTAGCAGCCCAACATGGAACCACTACACCACCAGGGCTCCTAATACAACAACAACCATCACAACAAAAAGCAGTGGTAGCTTTCTTTTAAATTGAATAATCTAAGAAAGACAGAGGCTAAATGGCTCTGCCTAGAATATTTGAGAAAATAGCTTCTGCACACCATTGCCTTTTGATTTAAGTCTATTGAATGACAAGCATAGATCTGACTCAATTTATGTCCAGTATTTGGACAATATTCCCAGAAATTACCTGCGTAGGAAATAGAACATCAGCAATATTTTTCTCACCACCCAAAAGCTTAATTTGTTTAAAATTAACAAAACTTATCCATTTCTTATTTTTAAAACTTATCCTTTTCTTAAGCTATAGGAGATTATAATTACGATAAATAAATATTCAATATAGAAAAATTCGTGGGTCCTTAAAACCAAATCTTAGAGTTCATAAAAAGTTAACAAATCATTTTCTCCCAAATGATGATGATTAATTATCAGGGAGTGCCTACAGGCAGATAAAGTTTTTAACTAATTATTATAATTCTTGAATGTGACCCTAAAGCAGCGGTTCTCAACCTGTGGGTCACGACCCCTTTGGGGGTTGAAAGACCCTTTCACAGGGGTCGCCCCATTCATAACAGTCGCAAAATTACAGTTAAGAAATAGCAATGAAAATAATGTTATGGTTGGGGGTCACTGCCACGTGAGGAGCTGTGTGAAAGGGCGGTTGAGAGCCACTGCCCTCAAGCGTTCTTCAGACACACCTGCGAGTCTTGTTAAGAAGCCTCATGATGCACTGGCTCAAGTGCTCGACTGTTGACTGAAACATCAGTGGTTCCAACCTACCAGCTACTCCGTGGAAGGAAAAAGCCCGGTGGTCCGATCCTGCTGATAAAACACCACCACCATCAAAACCATCCCACTACCATCGCATGGATACCAGTGCATAGGGACCCTGCAGGGCAGAGTATTGGGTTGGTACCGTCTCACAGCAACCCCATAGGAAAGAACAGAACCTTTGGGTTTCCCTGACTATAAATGTTTATGGAAACAGACTGCCTCAACTTTCTCGAACCACCGATCTTTCCGTTAGGCTGATGCTTAACCCATTGTGCCACCAGGACTCCTGTTAAGATGACAGCCTAGAAAACCCTATGGGTAATCTACTTTGTCCTATAGAGTCACTAGGATTCAGAATCGATTGATGCCATAGACTCACCTATGTGTCTCGTTGATGAAGGGTTCTGGCTGCGCAATGAATATGCTCAGAATGGGTTTTTGGGTAGCTCAGAGTTTCAGGTGTACAAACTTCAACATGTGGCTGTGGTTTCGCTGACAGCCACAGACGGCAGGTATCAGAAGTCCCTGGGCCTGCCACCTCTGGTCCCACTCACTCACCTGAGAGAGAGGCTCGGGAGGCGGTGGGGGCAGTGGAAGGTCTAACACGGGATCCGCTGGTGGGGGTGGGAAAGCATCTTCACAGTAGCTAATGCGAGCTGCGGGAGCATCGGCTTCCGAACCCAGAAAGGCCGCCCCACTGAAGTGGGACGCCTCGCGGGGTGCCAAATGCGGTGGATTCTGTGCAGAGGCTTTCTGTGCCTGGATTGTCCTCTGCTCAGCTTCGCTTATGTCTGCTACCAGATCAGCCATGAGCGCATCTAAGTCTTGGTCCTCCAGGGCATTTAAGGACTCTGGTGGAGGAAATGAGACGAATGAAAGAAGCTATTTTGTACCTGGAAAAACTGAAAACAAAAAAAAGGTAAAATTTTCCGAGTCATACTTAAATAGGGAAATCCTTATTTTGCTATGACTTAATAAGGAAGCCTGGACTTATTTTTTTAAATCATTTTATTAGGGGCTCATACAACTCTTATCACAATCCATACATACATCAATTGTGTAAAGCGCATTTGTACATTCATTACCCTCATCATTCTCAAAACATTTCCTCTCCACTTAAGCCCCCGGCATTAGGTCCTCATTTCCCCCCTCCCTCCCCGCTCCCCTCTCCCTCATGAGCCCTTGATAATTTATAAATTATTATTTTGTCATATCTTGCCCTGTCCGACGTCTCCCTTCACCCACTTTTCGGTTGTCTGTCCCCCAGGGAGGAGGTCACATATAGTTCCTTGTAATCGGTTCCCTCTTTCCTGCCCACTCTCCCTCCCAATGGTGATACCCTCCCAGTATCACCACTCACTGGTCCTGAAGGGATCATCCGCCCTGGAATCCCTGTATTTCCAGTTCCTATCTGTACCAGTGTACATCCTCTGGTCTAGCCAGACATGCAAGGTAGAATTCGGATCATGATAGTGGGGGCGGGGAGGAAGCATTTAGGAACTAGAGAAAAGTTGTATTTTTCATTGTTGCTACATTGCCCCCTGACTGGCTCGTCTCCTCCCCGAGACCCCTCTGCAAGGGGGTTTCCAGTGGCCTGCTAATGGGCTTTGGGGCTCCACTCCGCACTCCCCCCATCATTCACTATGGTAAGATTTTTTGTTCTGATGATGCCTTGTACCTGAGCCCTTCGACACCTTGTGATCGCATAGGCTGGTGTGCTTCTTCCATGTGGGCTTTGTTGCTTCTGAGCTTGATGGCCGCTTGATTACCTTCAAGCCTTTAAGACCCCAGACGCTATATCTTTTGATAGCTGGGCACCATCAGCTTTCTTCACCACATTTGCTTATTTGCCTGCTTTGTCTTCAGCAGTTGTGTCGGGGAGGTGAGCATCATAGAATGCCAATTTAATAGAAGAAAGTATTCTTGCTTTGAGGGAGTACTTGAGTGGAGGCCCAGTGGCCTGGACTTATTTTTATTCAGTAGCACACACACAGACAGAGATTTTGAGAAACAGTTGGATCTATCCATGTCTATTCTGGTGCCAGATCTTAGTTTTAGGAACGTAGGGGAGGAGAATATTGGAAAGGGATAGAAGTGGAATTCTCTCCACCTGTTTTGTAAGCAGTCAGAGGGCAACTGATTAAAAAAAATACATCTGACAGAAAGTGGGTCTCAATCAACTGGGTTTAATATGTTCCAAGACTGTGGAGAGGATGGAGCGCTCACAGAGTCCAGCGCTGACAAATACAACCAAGCAAGCGGAAACGCCAGCCCTTGCCATCAGGTCACAGCTGCCTCATAGTGCAGAAGATAAAGGCATAAATCTGACACGAACAGTTAAAACTTTGTCAGTCGATGCTCCCCCGCCCCTGATCTGGTTTCCAAATTTTCTGTATTTCTGGTTTGGTTTTTGTTCATTCATAGTAGGGTGTATCTCAGAGGTGTTATGTCACTGGAGGTCACCCTCTTGAAGCTGGTTGATATGCTTTTCCGTTTTCTGGTATATGAAACCCAGGCTTGATGGACCTATTGGGGCAGTGGTAGAATAAGGGACTTGGGGGGAGGGGTACGGTGGTGGTGGTAGTGGGGGGTGTGTAAAAGAGAGCTGATATCAAAGAGTCCCTGTAGAAAAAGAATGCTTGGAAATTGATTGTGGTAGCAATCATACAATTCTACGTGACATGATTGAAATAAGGAATGATAAATGTACTAAATCCCAACTAAAAAAAAACAAAACAAAAAAACCAACTGATAGCAACCCCCTGTAGACAGAAGTAGAAACCTCAGTGTTTACCACAGAACTGCTGCTGGCCTTGAACTACCAACCATACAGGTCACAGCCCAATTTATAACCATTACACCACCAGGGCAGCTACTGACAGGTAGCAGACATTAAAGCACTAACAGGACTTAAGAGTTAAAAATAAAAGTTTCATTAAATGATTAAAATGATAATTTTCGGAAGACAGTGAATTGGGAGCTAATGTTTAAAGGAAAATGTGGACCAAGATTTTCAGAATGAGGGCAGTTTACTCTGGAGTCCCTTCCAGGTGTGGGAAGTCGGCAGCAGACACACCGTCCAGAAGGTGGACCAGAGGGTGTGCTGTGGCGGGAGCGGTGTTGGCATGAGACGCTAGCAGAGTTCTGATCAGAAGTTGTTCAGCAGATCACAGTGCAACAAGCAAGGACTGGCAGATAGAGGAGCTGTGAGGAAGAGGATGCTAACTGCTATGGGAACGACAAACAGGAATGAGGAAAGAGCTGTGAAAATGAGGTTGACGCAGCAGCAGACAAACATAAAGATGTGTGAAACAACTGGACACCAAATATCACCACAGTAAACTCTTTGGAACCTATTAAAACAAAGCCAAACCACGTGCCCGGGTGTCAACTCTGACGCCTGGTGGCCCCACGTGTGTCAGAGTAGAGCTGCTTCATAGGACGTTTAGAAGTTGATGCCATGCCTTTCTGCCAAGCTGCCTCTCGGTGGATTTCAACCATCAACTTCTGGTTAGTAGATGAAGCCGTGGTTGAAGCCACGGCTGTCACTTCCACTATGACATGCTGCATTGACGGGAAGAGCTCCAGAGTGCAGCACGCTCACTCGAGTGTGGAACTCCAAAATGTGTACCAAGAATTCATTTTTCTCTAAGCTGTTTTTACATAGAATTTCATTATGGAATTAAGCTATACCAAATACACTCTTTTCAAAGAATATGTATGTAAAACCAATAAAACATAGCAATAATTTCCTAATGTTATCAGTTACATGGTGATTCTGTGGGCAGGTAGACAAATGGCCTTTTAATCATTTATAAAAATTTTAGGGTCAAAATTCCCATCATGATACTTACATGAATGATTTCCAAAGGAGGCTATACTCCTAAATTAATTAAATTGGAATTGAGTACTTCGGAATTAGGGAATCAGATAGATATGGACTCCATGCTGAAGGCTGTCACTAAATCTTGTGGTGATTTTGGGCAAAATGCGTGTACTCATTTTACCAATGTCTCTTTGCTTATCAATTATTATGTTCCATAGTTCCTCCCATTTAGAAATGTTTTGGATCCTCGGTACTGTGCTTAGGAAATATTAATTGATTTGAACTGAATTCAACTATTGACTAAATTTTTATTTTGATGAAAATGACTGAAGTACTGGGTTGTTATGACTGCGGTAAACAAGCGTATGCTATCTGTTACTGACACAACTTTACGAAGTTCGCTATTTTTTGAAACTTGATTCCATCATCATGATGGAAATGACTGTCAGGAATCAGTTTCTACAGCAAACTGAGGGGACACATGGGGCAAGAACAGGAGAAGCCTGCAAGGTATATTACCATGTATCACGATGGGCACCCCTAAAGATGACGAAGAAGGAGAGAGAACATAAGCGGAGCGAGTGACTAGAGTTAGCTTGGCCCTCCAGCACCTGACACGGGCCTGCTTCTTCCTGGCCTTTTTCTTTTTCGATCTTCGGTACGAACAATAGGCCTCATGCAAGAGTTGCAGTGAATTCTGGTTAATTTGGAAACTGTTACTTAGAGATTTATGGCAACTTAAGTAGCTTATGAGCTGAAGATCCCCGCTGTACTAAAAAAGCAGAGAAATTTATATGAAGAAAAGAAAGTGACAGAGTCAAGGAAATTTTTATTTTTTAAAGCCAAAGGGAGGAAATATATATAAACTAAAACATATTTCAAAAAATTCATTCATTTATTCTCAATGGTTATAAAATGGATAATTTATTACTATCCTTTAAGGGACATTTTCTTATTCATATTTCATTATATCACTCTATAGCATTATTCATAAGAAAAAGGACGATCTGAAATCCAGTACTTTAAAAATGATATTTACCATGCTATCTAGGTTTCTTTAATTCTCTTTTCAAACTACAGCTCCATACACATTTTTGTCCACCTTATGATTATAAGTCATATAAGAAATGATCATGCTTACCATTTAAATCTTTAAAGCCCACAGTGTAGTTAAATTCAGTTCTGGTAGTCCTTGTTTCAGGCGGAGGAAGGGTTTCAACTCCTAAACTCTGTGGAAATAGATACCCCCCCCCAAAAAAAAAATTATTCATGATATTGACATTTCACAACATACTTTAACCATTAAGTCAAAATATTTATTGTCCACACATTTTTTCCCTGTAGATATATTAAGAACCACATACCCACTTGAAAATGATTTATGTACTGCTTTTTTCTCTAAAGAAAATTCCAACTTACCAATTATTTGATACCATCTCAAAACAAAACAGAAAAACTGAAAATGATGAGAATGAGTTAGGGTAATTTAAATTTTAAGCATATTTTTAGATCTATATTCCAAGAATTGATTACACTTGTTCTTAAACATGAATGCTTTTATAATAGTGAATGAATCTCTAAAATGCTAATTTGTTTTGGTAAATAATATTCTTCATCCTTGAAATTTCAAAAGAAGAATTTATCATTATATATATGAGAAAACATTTAAAAATGTAATTGCTTCAATAAGTAAACACAAGATGTTTACTTGTGTTTTATTGACCATAGGAATGATAACAAACCATGAATAACCTTTTATGGAGCTGGAACTCTAGAACACTTCATGGTGCTCATGTGGAGCCTGTATATAGATCCAAAGGTAGCTGTTTGAACAGATCAAGGGAGTAAGGCATGGTTTGAAATCAGGAAGGATGTGTGCCCGGGGTGCGTTCTTTCTCCATGCTTATTCGATCTGTACGCTGAGCAAACAATTTGAGAAGTCGGACTATATGGAGAGGAACTCAGCATCAGGATTGGAGGGAGGATTGTGAGGCATGGATGGTACAATCTTGCTTGTTGAAATCAAGAGGACTCAGAACACTTGCTGATGAAGAACTGCAGGCTACAGCATGAATTGCAACTCAATGTACAGAAAACCAAAATCCTCACAATGGGACCAAAAGACATTATAATAAATTGAAGAGATTGAAGTTGTCAAGGATTTCATTTTACTCGGATCCATGACAAGTGTTCATGGAAGACAGTAGTCAACAAATCAAGTGATGTATTGTACTGGGCAAATCTGCTCCACAAGACAGCTAAAGTGTTGAGAGATCAACGATGTCTCTTTGAGGACTAAGGTGCATCTGACTCGAGCCACGGTATTTTCTGTCACTTCTTAGGCATGTGAAAGTTGGACGCTGAATAAGGAAGACCAAAGGAGAATGTATTTTATCATGATGTTGGCAAAGAATATGGAAAGTGTCATGGGCTGCCAGAAGAAGAAACACATTTTTCTTGCAAGAAGGACAGCTCGAATGCTTCTTGGAAGGGAGAATGGCGAGGCTTGGTCTCACATACTTTGAACTTGTTATCAGGAGAGACCAATCACTAGGGCAGGTCATCATGCCTGGTGAAGTAGATGGTTGGTCAAAAATGGGAAGACTCTCAGTGACATGGATGGATACAGTGCTTGCAACAAGGGGCTCAAACATATACTCGAGTATAACCCGAGCTCTTCAGTACATTTTTAATGCAGTTTTTGTGGTAAAATTAGGCACCTCGGTGGCTATTTGGGTCGACTTATATTCGAGTACATGCGGTACCAATTGTGAGGTTGTCACAGGAATGGGCAGAGTTTTGTTGTGTTGTACATAGGGTCGTTACGAGGGGGAACTGGCTGCATGGTACCTAACAACAACAACAAAAAGGGGAGAAAGACCACGAATCAAGAAGGTGAAAAATAAAATTAATTCATGCAAGTTGAAATCCAGGATAAAACGTAGAGGAAAATGACTACAATTTCAGAATTGATTCAGGAAAATGGATGGGGCATGCAGAAATTGATTAGAGAAAGCGGAGCTTCATGAAAAAAATTATGGGAAAAACCTCTGAACAAAATACTTTGTGGAAATGTGGTGAAGAAAGTAAATGGTGCCCGGCTATTAGAAGATACAGTGTCTGGGGTCTTAAAGGCTTGGGGATGAAACAACAGAAACGTGGGTGAAGGGAGACAGTGGATGATGTAAGATATGAAAATAATAATAATTTATAAATTATCAAGGGTTCACGAGTGTGGGAGGGTAGGGGAGGGAGGGGAAAAAAGAGGAGCTGGTACCAAGGGCTCAAGTACAAAGAAAATGTTTTGAAAATAATGATGGCAATACATGTATAAGTGTGCTTGATACAATTGATGTATGGATTATTATAAGAGCTGTAAGAGTCCCCAATAAAATAATTTATATAAAATAATACTTTGCGGAAAAAATTAAAAAAATTCATTACCTGTGTTTTTAAAGTTAGAATTCAGAGGTCTAACAGCAATTAGGTATTCAACTTTTTTCTTCAGTAATATAAATTTGTTCTAGTATTTTATAAAATTAGAATTAGTTATTTAACAAAATGTTAATGTAGAAATTTGCAAAGAATCAAACCAAACTCACCACCCAGTGAGTGACAGGTGAAATAATTCATTTTAGGGGATGTAAGAAGACACAAGCATTTAAAATTTAAATTGTTGTATATGTCTTTGGGTGTTTATCGAGGAAAGAAAAATTAGAGCTTCTAGTCTGATTGAGATGAAGTTTAGTTTTTAAAAATCCATTAAGTTCAAATCAAATCAGTAGAACAATAGGTAGGTTACAAGTATGGCAAAAATCTTGCCAGTGCTATGTGAGTGACTGGTTTGAGAATACTGCTTTATCCTGGACTCCGAAGTAACATTTGCTCAAAATTTCATTTCATTAGATGTTACCAATTCTTCATTCCTTCGAAATGCCTTCTGCAAAGCACTTTCTCTCAACAATGATTTGCTTACTCTGATGTGCAAAGAGGTTAAGAGAACTCCTCCTCCCATTTATCAATTTTCAGAGTAACAAGTTAGTCTCCTGGCAACTTCCAATGGTGACTAATAATGCACCTTTGCTTTTTTAAAATTCTAGGTACCATTATAAATTACTTAATTATGCCATGTTGAAATGTCAAAGTTTTCCTTTTTTATCTGTATCACTTTTTGTGGTAGTTACACAATTTTATGTCAGCTTGATAAATGAAGGGGTGGAGTCTAGCCTGCCAATCAGGTCACAGCCTGTTGATCCCTCCTTGTGGGCGTGGCCTTCTCATGAGGATTCTGGGACTTATTCTCTTCCTCCCTGGAGGTAGGACACACTCTCTCTGTGCCACCTTCCTGTTGACAAGCCATTAGGAGCCTGGGATAGTTAAAGTTTATTGTGCCAACCTGACACATGTGAGATTAATTGAAGGACAGAGAGATAAACGGCTCGGTGAGCCTTGCCTTTCTAGCTCTCGGGTCTCTTGTTCTCTGATGGTAGACCAGTGCAGTTGCCTTAGCCAGTTCCCTGCTTCAGCCGGCAAAGCTCACTTCCTGCAAGACATCCCTGAGGAGAAGTCACATGGACCTACCCTGATGCAGGCTGGGTGCTGGAGCAGCTGTGTGGAGACCCCTGCAAGCGCTGAGATGCTTACACATTCACTGACTCAGCTTTCCTCCTGCAGTCGGCATCATTGCGTGTTTTGTGAGATGGGGGAGGACTTTGTGGATTAGGTCAGACATATGGGCTAATGTTGGGCTTGTGGGCTTGGGTAGCACTGGGTTGGGATTTTTTTTGATGTGCACTTACCCTTTATGTAAAACTCTCTTATACATATGAGTTTCTATGGATTTGTTTCTCTAAAGTATCCAGACTAACTCAGAGTCACACTCAGAGAGCTGGAGGGGCATCATGCCAGCACAGAGATGCTTTCACCATCTCCAGATCCACAAGACCTTTCATCCACCAGCCTGTGACCTTCCTGCATTAGGCATCATTGCATGGGCTGTGTGAGTCTGAAGAGGAATGTATGGACTGGTATTGGGCATATAGGCTAACATCAGACTTACGGACTTGATCTGGACCAGGCTGGGATATTTTCCTAATATATAATTACTCTTTGATAGATAGCTCTTTACATATATGAGTCTCCCTGGATTCGTTTCTTTAGTCTACCCGGACTAGCACACTTTTTCTTTTATTGCTTCCAAGTGGTATGTCTTGCTTAGGAAAACTAGCCACATTTTGAGATTATACAAAGAGTTCTCCTGTGTTTTCTTACAAATGTGCTTTATATATTTATATTTTTATGTCATGGAACGCATTTGGGTGTAAAGTACGAGGAAGAAATCAGTGTTTTAGTTCCCAGATGCATTATCCCAACTCAATTTATTAAATTTATCAAATAATCCTCCTTTCCCTATTTATTAAGATGCCAACCCTATCATATTTTAAATACCTATAAATAAGAGTCTTTTAAAAGTTCATAGAAACATAGACCGAAAAAGATAATGGATTAGTTTCATGAACTCTTTGAAGCTCCCTCATAGATTTGAATCTGTTTCACTAATCTGGTTTAATATTATCATTAATTTTTCCCTCCAAATTTTCCTGGGTATTGTGCATTTACATTTCTGCTATATAAACAGTAGTCTTGACTTGGCTGCACTTACTTACAAAATATCCAGTTAATTAGATAATTTATGTATTGGCTTTCCCAGTGCCTGTATGTGTGTATCAGCAGTTTCCTACGATGCAGAGAGCTAGAAACCCAGTTCTACGGGGGGTTCTGATTCACTGCTATCCTGTGTGACAGAATAGAATGGTCCCCTTGGGTTTCTGAGGCTATACATTTTCACAGGAGCAGAAATGTCTGATCTCTCCCACAAACCAACTGGTGAGTTCAAACTGTTGACCTTTTGATTTGCAGTCCAATGTTTAACCAACTATGCCATCAGGTCGCCTTGGTAAGATAAATAAATAGATAGACTGATGATGGATGAATGGGTGGATGCACAATGGATAGGTATATGTGTGTATGGACAGATAGAGAGATAGGTAGATAGGATCTCTGGTGGGGCAATGGTTAATGCACTTGGTTGCTAACCAAAAGATCAGAGGTTCAAATCCACCCAGCCACTCCACAGGCAAGAGACGTGGCAGCCTGCTTCTGTAAAGATTTATAGCCTCAGAAACCCTATGGGGCAGTTCAACTCTGTCCTGTGGGGTTGCTAGGAGAC